GACTTGGAGTTGAGCTAGCTGTGCCCTCCACAACTAAGATTGAAGAACAAAAACTTGGCTGGTCCCCTTCCCCAATTCCCCAGTAAAAAAAAAAAGGTAAGTACGTGAGCGCCAGCAGCTTTACATTTTCAATGAGAACTGAGCTCACGTCACTTCAGTCATGCTCACCCTTTTCTTTTCTTCTCTCTCTCTCAGTAACGTTTCTCTGTCCACCAGCTTGACCACGGTCGGCAGCCCTGCAAAACCAGAGGTCCGTGAGGGGAGCTGCAGCCTATGGTACATCCTCCCTGCCAGTCCACCCCCACCCTGAGCAGCCCGCCAGGCCACCACAGCCTCCGCCCATGGCTGTGCCCGAGGGTCCCCTGGAGAAAAGCAAGGTGGGGATCCTTTCTGACTGCTCATGACAGAAAAGCCAGAAGTCATAAAGTAAGACATGTCAACTGAATCTTTAAAACCTAATTATTTTCTGTGCAGCAAAACCCAAGCTGTGAAACTCGCTGACAACTGTATGACACAGGCTATCTCCTAAGTGGCAGATAAGAAAAGGTGGCCAGTGGCCCAGCAGAAACACGAGCAACGGGCAGCCAGGCCACAGGAGTGGACACCCAAACACCTTTCAAACAGGAAGTGTAGGCAAGGACACCTGAGAAGGTAAAACCACAAGCCCCCTCCATGTCCCCACCTCCCGCAGGACCCTGGGGCCCGCTCTGGGATTCTTCAGCATGGAGCGCGTGCCCTCAGAGCCCCCCCAGGAACTCTTCCCGTGGCCCTTACAGAACAAGCCCCCACCCAGCATCCTTCCCGCCTCCCTGCCCATCATACCCAAGGCTTTTTGCTTCGAGACCCCAGAAACGGCCCCACAGAACCCACCTTCATGATCTTCCAACCGCACTCCGAGCTCGGGCAGGATGTCGTCCCGCAGGGTGTCGCTGAGCTGCAGGACCTCAGGGACTGGGGGCAAAGGGAGTGCTTCAGCCTGATCCTCTGTGGGAGGCGGGAAGCACAGAGCAGCCCCCGAGCCTGGGCCCTCACCCCAGGGCACCCGTTGCGTGCTGTCAGGATGCACGGACAGATGGTCCCCAGATTCCGAGCAGGGAAAGTCACGGCCGCGAGAGCCCGGTGGGTGGTGGGTCCACGGAAACCAGACTCTACTGTGCAAAAGCGAGGTTCAGAAGCTGCTTGCACCCCTGGCCCTGGCACGGCCCTGCCTCCCAAAAGGGGCAGCCAGGTCCCACAGCGCGAGACCCAGGGACCCAAGGCCACACTTGCTCTGGGCCTGTGCCGCAGTCACCCAGAAGTCCTGGAAGGACCCCTTGCTCTCAGCACGCCTGGCCCAGGACCCCCACAGCTCCCAGCATCCATCTCGGCTGCAGTGAAGGGTGTGGCCACTTGGGGATAGACGCGGGTAGGGGGGCTAGGGTGACCCCACAGCTCTCGAGGCTGCCGGCCTCACCTTTCTTCTCTCGGGCGATCTTCCGCACCCCTTCTCTGAACTCCGACAGCACCTGAAGGTACGGCATGGCGGTGGACTCGAGCTGTGGGAAGAAGGATTCCGCTCACTGAGAGAGCAGCTCACCCCTGTATCTATGACAGTTCGCACACCTGCTGCGTGGCAGTGACGCCAGACGTGGGACACGCCCGCCCCAATAGCCGGTCCACTCCAGGTGTGTGAGTCACACACGACACGACATCTGTCCCAGGTGAGAGGCAGGTGTTGAAACGCCCATTACTGGCCGTGCACCGGATGGCCCACCGAGGAGGGACGACTTCCTGAGCGGCCTGATGCGTCCCTCCCGGCGGGGCCTTATCTACACTTGTTCAAGGTGAGTATGTCCGTGGCCTGCCTACCAGCCACATGCACGTTCACAGCCACTCTACGGTTAACCACCTGGGGTGACACGGAGGCCACAGAACGCAGAGCCTGCTGGGAAAAGAACACCAACGAGGGCGGGACCCGAGCTGGGGAAATGACGACTTTATGAACAAGGCTTTTGTTGCATCTGTCGTCTTTTCCCAGCAGGCTCCTGAGCAAGGTCTCTCCTGCCTCTTAGGTAAGTCATTCAGCAGCTCAATAACCAAAGTAATAATAATTAAACGCAAAAAAGCAGGCTGGGCGGACGAGCCGTCAATAGGCCCTAACCCTCGTGAGGCCCAAGCCTAAACCTGAGCTGAGGGGAGGCGTCCCTGCAGTGGGGGGGGGGGACTGGGCTTCCAGGGTGTTGGGTCTTTATGTCCACCCACGCAGCGGGACAGCGGGGTGACCCTGGTGCAGGGAGGGACACACTTCCGGCTCCGTGGCAGCCAGCTGACCACAGCAGGCGCTCTGGACCTTTCAGCGCTGAGGTGGCTGAAGGCTTAGCAGCTGCCCCCTGCCTGCTCCTGAAACAACTGGGGTGTGGAAGTTAATCCACAAACTTCAAATGGCGTGACCTGTGCGTGCGCCCTTTGTCCCCGCAGGCCCACCTGCCCCAGTCCCGTGGCTGCTTAGTGGGCTGATGTCAGAGGACACCCAGAGGTCGCCCAAGCCTCTGAGGCCCCCACGCCGCCACAGTGGCATTTAATAGTGAAAGCATTTTTTTTTCTTTCTTTAAGTTCAAAGGCAGATTGTCTTTAACCTAGGAGGGTTTTGTTGTTTTTGTTTTTTTTTTTAAGAAAAATATCTAGAATCATTTGCAGAAGAGAACAAAGCAGCTCTGTGGCTTTTCTTTCTAAAAAGCACCACAGGTTCAGCTACGGCCAAGTCTAGGAGACACCACGGCAATGAGCGCTAAGGCTGACAAAAGCCACCAGCGATGTGGGCGTGGGGTCTGGCAGGACTTCTGACAGCACAGGACTGTTTTCTCTTTGGAAGTCGGTTCTTGGGGAAACCGCTATAAACTCCGTCGGCAGGCGTTCCTGTCCGCCAGAGGGAAACAGGGTTAAAAGGCTTTGTCTTTTTACGCTGTATTCGACTCCTGTTATTATTTAAGTAACAGTTGTTATGTTTAAATGTTTACACATGCATCCCAATCACATAATTACAGAGCCACCCTGATGGGGGAGGAGAGCGCTGGTTCGCCCGGGAGAAAGCTGACTGTGCACTTGACGCGTGATGGTGGTCACGCAGCGGGAACTGCGCTATCTGCCCACGTGCCAACTACAGGTGAGACGCCAACAATCGCTGATGAGCTTTCTCGAGTGCACAGACCCATCAGACAGATGGTTCAACGTGGCATCTGCACACAGGCCCACACGTGCCAGGGCAGGGTCGAATGAGAAGCCAGGGTACCATGTGGCTGCGGCCCACGCAAGGGCTAGGGACCCTCCCATCTAGTCTGATGCTGGGACTAAGCTCACACACACAGCCCAGCAACACAGGTGCTCCCTGCCTGACGGCCAGTGAGGAAGCAGTTAGGGCCCCGCGGGCCTTCCACACATGCGAGGGGCAGCCGGCTACGCTCAATTCTCCCATCCAGGTCAAAACGCGGCCCAGTGTGGGTGGGACCTAATGTAGGTCTCCAAATGCCCACAGGTTTGACCCAGGAGGGGAACAGGGAGGGAGCAAGTGTGGAGGGAGGCGGGTGCCCTGGCAGTGGGCACTGTTTCCCGGGGCCTAGCAGGGAGACGCTCTGGGCCCGGGGGGGCTCTACTCACGCTGAGGCCGGTTCCAGGTCCTCCGACTGGGAAACCCAGGTCGCTTTCCTCTTCTATGGCTCCAAAGATCTAGGAAAAGAAACACCATGCAGGATGAAGAGGTCCTAAGGCACGATCGTCGGCACCGGGTCCCGGGAACATGGTGCTGGGCACAGGAGGGCGAGGCGGCGGCACAGCCAGCCTGGCTGGAGAGGAGACGGGGAGAGCAGCTCCGAGAGCCCCACTGGCTCCAGACCGAGTCCTGGCTCCCACCGCCCTCTCCAGCCCTGTCAGCCCGAGGCCACTGGACAACAGGGGACCAGAAGGGCGAGGTGGCAGGTCACCCTCAGGTCCTGTCTGAAGCAAAGACCCCAGAACTTGGCAGCACAAGGTGGCATGACGCTGCACCAGGGGGGTTCCAGGCCAGGTCAAGGCCACTGGTTCTGCTTTCCGAACCTCAACATGGGAGGGAAGTGGAGACACGGAGCCGCGGTCACTCAGCGAGGACAGCTGCACGGGCTCGACTTCTGACGTGGTACTGATGGCGGCAGCACGTGTGCTCCACACTGCCCCACCGGGGGCCTCCGTTTCCATGGGAACGGGCGGCGTGGGGACCCCCCTACCTTCAGCATGCGGGTGAGGTACAGCGCCACGCTCTGCAGCAGAGCCCGGTTGGGCTGCCTCCTCGCGGCCTTCCGGGTGGCCATGTACAGGTTGCACTGGCTGACCAGAGCCCGCATTTCTTCCAAGACGGTGCGCGTGTCGACATTATCACACAGGGCTTCGTGCACCGCCGCCTTCTTGCTGTAAAAGCTGAGCGAGAAAAGGAAGGAACCGGGACGTCACACCCATAACGCGACGCAGAGCCTCTCCGTGCAGCCCAATGGCCAGAGCATTTCCACTGGGAGGGACAGCACGTTCTGAGAGTGGTGACAATGGTGCCACCGGCCCCCGCCCGGGGGCGTGACACACAGGCGGGCGGCACAGTCACAGGCATGTGGACAAACCCCCGAGATCCAGAGATGAGGCTCCACCTTACCTCTCATTCAGTGCTGCTTCCGCCTCTTCCCACTTCTCAAACCGGCTGGTGATATCAACAGGAGCGCGAAGAACGTCTTTCACATTTAAGAAAAACTCCTAAAGTTAGAAAACTCAGTTTAACAGCATGTAGACAACCTTCCCGTCCAAGAGCCAAGAGCTAGCTGGGAAGGAGCCGTTCTCCGGACACGCTTTCCCTCCGGGCAGAGCCTGAAACCGCCGCGCACTGACATCCCCAGGTGGTAAGAGCGCGTGGAGCACGGACGTGGACTCCTGAGGGGCGAGTTCACCGAAGGCTGGAGCTGAGGAAGGTGACAGAGTTGGCTGTCCCCACTGGCGCTGGCTGCTCTCGCCTGTGACCTGCTCTCCACCAGAGGAAGCGGAAGCAGAACGCGTCCATCTCAGCTGACCGGTGGCTCCACCCACCTCTGGGGCGAGGAGGGACTTACGTTCAGGAACTTCTCAAACTGCAGGGCCGACTCCATGGTGTTGCTCGAATAGTCCAGCGTGTCCTTCCACGAGTGCATGAGGAACGCCAGGCGCAGCTGCCGCGCTGGAGGGGACACGGCACGCGGTTCCCTCACTCTCCCGAGGAGCCACCATCACCGCGCGTCCCAGGAAAGGAGCGTCTGGTCCCTGGGAGCGGCCAATGTTTACCTGAGTGCTTCTTCAAGGCGTCTTTGATGGTGATGAAGTTTTTGAGTGACTTTGACATTTTGCAGCCTGCAATCGTCAGGTGGCCCGTGTGCAGGAAGTAGCGGACCCAACAGTCATTTTCAAAGTAGGCCTGCGCAGCAAGACATGGGAGGGGCCGCAGCCATGAGTCCCTGCTCGCTGGGGAGGGAGCCGCCGCTTTGTAAGCACGGAGTCTCCTTTGTCTGCCTAGACATGAAAAAGAAGGGGCTACCTCTTGGAGGTGGTCACCTGGGGCCCAGAGGGGCTGCCCTGGGTCAGTGAGCCATGAGGGAACCACTGGTTCCCAAAAGCCAGGCTGCTCATGTGGGACATCAGACTAAATAATTAAGGTTCAAATCCCCCCCCAAAAAACCCTGATGCGGAAGCCAGGCTCTCTTCAGGCAGCCCCCCGACTCTCCGCCACCACGGTGGGGACTCAGGCACGCCCATCTGCAACATGCCTACCTCCGACTGCGCCAGCTCGTTGTCGTGGTGGGGGAAGCGGAGGTCGAAGCCCCCTCCGTGAATATCCATCGAGGCTCCCAGGAGGGTGCCTGCCATGGCAGAACACTCGATGTGCCACCCCGGACGCCCCTGGAGAGCAAACAACCCGATGACCGGCTGGCCTGACCCCCAGGCCTCCCATTTGCCCCAACGTCAATGGGCCTCAAAATCTCTGAGCCCTACTGGGACACTAAGGGGAACCCTGTTCTGCAAAGCTCCCATAAGCTTTGTGGAGGCTGAGGCTGTGCTGAACCTTGTGTCGTTTCCAGAACATTCCAGCATTCAACCAGGAGCAGATGCCAACACCCTCTTCCCGCAGCTGTGGAATGTCAGGGGGTGCACTCGTCCATAGATGCTTGTGGTCCTGAGTCAAAGCCCATCAGGACAGCAGGGCCTCCCAGGTGCTCCCCCAGCGGCAGATGGGCAGACGCAGACAGAAGTCCCAGGAAGGGACAGTCCTGCCCAATGGCCCACAAGGCTCAGTGGCATCCAGGTCCCAGGATGGGGCAGTCAGATGCTGCACCGGTGAGGGGCCCTGCCCGGGCCCGTGCCCGTGCCCATGTCCCACCTGAGCCCCTGGCCTTTAGGTGCTCACCTTTCCCCACGGGCACGGCCAGGACGGCTCCCCCGGCTTGGAGGCTTTCCACAGGGCAAAGTCACTGGGAGACCGCTTCTCGCTCAAGCGGTCGGCCGAGACGCTCAGGTCGCCTGCAGACACGAGGGAGGAGGCGCTGTCAGGAGCCTGCGGGAGGAAGGCCTCACCTCAGGCCATTCTTGGCGTCTGCCGCTCAGTCCTAATTTCCATTATTAACTTGGTCGAGCACTCCTTCACGTTTACTCTGCCCAGGCTGCGGTGCTGCCCGTGTCCAGGTTGACAAAGCCCGTTTATAAGCTCACGGGCCAGCGTCTAAGGGCCTTCGCCGTGGTCCTGACCTGCACCTGCGTTTCCTCAGCCCCTCCTCCCCGTCGCCCCCCTTGCCGATGACAGTGACACTGCTGTGGTCTGAGGCGTGAGGCAATGCCATGGTGACCCCTCAGGGACCCTGGTTCGTGCAGGGGATCTCGTATAAATGGCCTACGTGACTCCCAGCTGTGGCTCGGGGTGATATGAGGACAAGCTAAGCCTGTGTGTGTGGCTTCTCGGGCCTGGAGGTGGCCGATTGGGACACTCACGGTCCCTCCCACGTTCATAAGGGGCGTAAGGGGAAGGTGGCCACAGAACAGCCTCTGAAAGACAAGAGCAAAGCGAGCAAGTCGTTTCCTGCTCAGGCCCCCAGAAAGCAGACAAGGCGTCACCGCCAGGCCCTGCGCCCGGCAGGAGCGACGGGAAATACCCTTTTCCCAGGTCGCCACAGAAGACTTCCAGACCACATGTAGGACCCAGGAACACAAGTGCTGTGAAAATGAAAGCCTGCTAGTTGGCCCAACCTTGACACAGAGAATCCCCATGGTGACTGGGTAAAAGCTGGGTGACCAGGCAGAAGCTGGGTGACTGAACAGAAGCGGGCCTTCAGCCCCGCACAGAGGCCCTAAAGGTCTGGCCAGGCCCCTTCCCTGGGGCGTGGTCCCAATGCTGCCTTTTCCTGGGTGCTGTCACCCCCTTGTGGAAAACTCGGGAACAGAAAGGACACACACGCTGGTGTCCAGGGCTGCAAACACAGCACCACTTCATAAATGCCACTTTTCAAGTGTCAGGCAACACACCTGAGCCACCCTGAGAACACAGTTGACAGGGAAAGCATTACTAAAGTCAACTGACAAACGTTATCATTTAAAACAGGTGCTAAACGTAGGATACTTAGAAAATACGAAGGAGAACCAGAAAAAACGCCATAGTCACAAACGTCAGGATAATAACTGTTCGCATTTTGGTGTATTGATTTGCACGTTTGTGTCTTTTCAAATATATGCAAGCAAAACACAGACACATCCCACAGGACAAACTCTATTCCAGCTTCCTATCTATTTTCTCACTCTGTATGTTACCACGTCGTCAGAAATTATTCAAAACTATGTGATTCGGCACAGGTGACAATCTCTTAGCCACCCTTTATTTCACAGCTAATACACATTTAGGTTTTTAATTTTTCGTTCTTATGAACACATGAGGTATGATCAAAATATACAGTGAATGTTTAAATAAAAAAAATTATTACAGTAAAAGACACATTGCCATGAATCCCCCTCAAAATACTCTCCCTCGATGGGCCGGCACGCTGGTTAAGAGCTGGCTTGGGACGCCAGAGGGCCCCGGTTTGGATCCCACATATGAGGGCCAGTGACACTGCCCTC